GAACATAGTTTATTATAACCCTAATATCTGTATATATATATATATATATATATGAACATAGTTTATTATAACCCTAATATCTGTATATATATATATATATATATGAACATAGTTTATTATAACACTAATATCTGTATACAGCTGAGCATAGTTTATTGTAACTAATATCTGTACATAGATAATCACAGTTTGCTATAACTAATATCTGTATATAGATAAACAGAGTGTATAGTAACTTGCACAGACAAATGTAAGCTAAAATGTCACATATTAATCAATAATGTACTTTATGTTTGCTACTTACAGGGACAGACATTATGATAGTAGGTTTTAGAAGCGAAGCATCTCCTTGACATCCAGACTTCACTGCTGTAGACTAGAGAAATAGGTTCAGAAGGGACACTAACTAGACAAACTAATGAAAACTCTGATTAAAGTACAATATATGATGATAAATATTTTTATTAACATTTCAAATAAACCTACTATAAATAAAAACCTATTTGTTGTGTAAAGAACACTACAAAACATATGTGACATATGTTTACCTTGTCTGTCATCGTTTGAGGAGAAGAGTAGCCTATCGGAATGCCCATGGCCAAGAAAAAGTTCTCTGTAATATGAAAACTAACAATGTATAGTAGTTCTCAATGAATAAAGTTCTCTAATATGAAAACTAACAATGTGTAGTAGTTCTCAATGAATAAAGTTCTCTAATATTAAAACTAACAATATATAGTAGTTCTCAATGAATAAAGTTCTCTAATATGAAAACTAACAATCTGTAGTAGTTCTCAATGAATAAAGTTCTCTAATATGAAAACTAACAATATATAGTAGTTCTCAATGAATAAAGTTCTGTAATATTAAAACTAACAATATATAGTAGTTCTCAATGAATAAAGTTCTTTCTAATATGAAAACTAACAATATATAGTAGTTCTCAATGAATAAAGTTCCGTAATATTAAAACTAACAATGTATAGTAGTTCTCAATGAATAAAAATAAAGTTCTTTGTAATATTAAAACTAACAATATATAGTACTTTATTCATTGAGAACTTCTCTAATATGAAAACTAACAATATATAGTAGTTCTCAATGAATAAAGTTCCGTAATATTAAAACTAACAATGTATAGTAGTTCTCAATGAATAAAAACTACTATATATTGTTAGTTTTAATATTACAGAACGTTCTCTAATATGAAAACTAACAATATATAGTAGTTCTCAATGAATAAAGTTCCGTAATATTAAAACTAACAATGTATAGTAGTTCTCAATGAATAAATTACAGAACTTTATTCATTGAGAACTACTATATATTGTTAGTGTTAAAACTAACAATGTATAGTAGTTCTCAATGATAATAAGATAGTCATGTTGCTATTATACCATTATTAATATAATGTAATTGTCATATTAATATCACACCAATGATAATAAGATAGTCACGTTGCTATTATACCATTATTAATATAATGTAACTGTCATATCAATATCACACTAATGATAATAAGATACTGTCATGTTGTTATTATACCATTATTAATATAATGTAACTGTCATATCAATATCACACCAATGATAAGATACTGTCATGTTGCTATTATACCATTATTAATATAATGTAACTGTCATATCAATATCACAATTATGATAATAAGATACTGTCATGTTGCTATTATATCATTATTAATATACTGTAACTGTCATATCAATATCACAATTATGATAATAAGATACTGTCATGTTGCTATTATACCATTATCAATATACTGTAAATGTCATATTAATATCACACCAATGATAATAAGACAGTCATGTTGCTATTATACCATTATTAATATAATGTAACTGTCATATCAATATCACACCAATGATAATAAGATACTGTCATGTTGCTATTATACCATTATTAATATAATGTAACTGTCATATCAATATCACACTAATGATAATAAGATACTGTCATGTTGCTATTATTCATTGGTGTAATATTGATATGACAGTTACATTATATTAATAATGATATAATAGCAACATGACAGTATCTTATTATCATTGGTGTGATATTGATATGACAGTTACATTATATTAATAATGGTATAATAGCATCATGACTATCTTATTATCATTGGTGTGATATTAACATGACAGTTACATTATATTAATAATGGTATAATAGCAACATGAAAGTATCTTATTATCATTGGTGTGACATTAATATGACAGTTACATTATATTAATAATGGTATAATAGCAACATGACAGTATCTTATTATCATTGGTGTAATATTGATGTGACTGTTACATTATATTAATAATGGTAAATAAGATACTGTCATGTTGCTATTATACCATTATTAATATAATGTAACTGTCATGTTAATATCACACCAATGATAATAAGATAGTCATGTTGCTATTATACCATTATTAATATAATGTAACTGTCATATCAATATCACAATTATGATAATATCAAAGAATAAGAAAATACCATCATGTCCATATCACACCACTAGTAATATCAAAGAATTTTAAGTCAGATTATGAAATTTATCATTGGTAAATAAAGAAATGTTCACTCTTACCTACAGCTAACTCAAACACATGTGCAAGTGGAAGAAATGCCATGAAGAGTTCAGTGTTCCTGTAAAATAAATTCATTGTACAGGTCACTGGTTAGGCCACATTTGGAATATTGTGTTCAGTCTTGGCCTCCTTACTTTAAGAAAGACTGAATTGTTGGAAAGTGTTACTAGAATGGTGCCTGGGATGGAGGGATTGTCATAAGAGGAGAGGTTGAAATCTCTCAAGTTGTTTTCTCTTGAAAAAAGAAAACTTAGGGGGATCTGATTGAGGTGTTTAAGATTGTGAAAGGAATTGATAGTGTTGATGTATCATATTTTTTCATATTTAACAGTGAGAATAGTAGGACTAGGGGAAACAAATATAAATTTTGGTATAGTAGGAGTCATCTTCAGCTAAGACAGTTTCATTTTTCTAACAGGGTGGTTGGCCTTTGGAATGGGTTACCTTTGGATGTTGTAGAGGCAGTAACTTTAAGTAAGTTTAAGAAAAAGCTTGATAAGGTTATGAATGATAAGAGCTGGCTTTTTTTTTAATTATTATAATTTATTTTAGAGGATGTAACAGCCAAGATGGACCAATAGGTCCCATGTTGTCCCAAAACATTATGTTATTATGTGTTATGGTATGATAAAAGAGAAAATAAAATTTTTATACAGCTCCACTGGAGAAAATCAAGTGTTTAAAACAAAGCTTTTTATTTAAAAACTAAAAACTTAAGGTTTTACACTAATGTGTATATAATCCAAGTTTAAAGTAGGTGAATGGTACTTCAAAATACAACAATAAATTAATAAGTATTTCACTGCCCTAAAAAAATGTTTTAATTTTTCATAAATTCATGCAAAGCTACAGAAGGGCTATATATGCTAGCCACTTCTACTTTCGATCTGATACACTAGAGGGAAGGCAGGTACTCAACAGCACCTACTGCTAACTCTTCGACATCTCTAAAGGAATAATAATGGGATTTGACTGTCACTTTTATACATCATCCATGCCTTTAAAGTGGATTCAAAGTCAGCATGTAATTATTAGGTTATGTCTTGAGTAAAATTATTTATAAGTTTGTTTAAACTCATAGAAATGTAAGTATGAGATGAACTTATAAAATATTAGAAACATATTAAGATACTATTATGTATACAGTATTAATACTGTATATTAATACTGTATACATAATACTGTATATTAGAAACATATCAAGATACCATTATATTATCATTAATACTGTATACTTAATACTGTATATTAGAAACATATTAAGATAACTAACCTATATTATCATTAATACTGTATACTTAATACTGTATATTAGAAACATATTAAGATAACTAACCTATATTATCATTAATACTGTATACTTAATACTGTATATTAGAAACATATTAAGATAACTAACCTATATTATCATTAATACTGTATATTAATACTGTATACTTAATACTGTATATTAGAAACATATTAAGATACCTAACCTATATTATGAAAAACAAGCAAAGAAATTAGTTCATCTAAAGCAATAACAATTACATCAAAAAGTAATTTTTGTAACATCAAGAATACACGATAACATAATAGAAAATATCAACAAGGATATAATATAGAATCTTAAATTGAACTTGTTGTTTCTATCAGTCATCAAAAAGTAATTTTTGTAACATCAAGAATACACGATAACATAATAGAAAATATCAACAAGGATATAATATAGAATCTTAAATTGAACTTGTTTCTATCAGTGAGAGTGAAAAATAAATGAATCTAAACACACCACACTTGAAGATTAAAAAGGTAAGTATGAAAATAAAAATTCTTACATTAATCCAGCAGAGACAGTTGCAAAACCATTGGCTGTGGTAATAATATTTTTATGAGTGATCATCACGCCTGTTAATAAGTGATCAAAAACAGATCAGAAGTCTAAATAAAAACAGAAAATTATCATTCAGGAAAGTGTTATAAAAGCAATAATTTACCAATCTTGTAGCCTTACTAGGGAAAATTCAAATATAATAAATAGTGTAAATACAATTTACATATATTTACACACAAATGCAGTTAGAGTAAACATATTTAATAGCTCTAAATCTTGATATGAAAAATTTCAAATCAAGAAAATTAACCTACATTTTATTTATACTGACTATTGACGTACTTTTTCTAAATATTGAATATTTTACCTACAATTTATAAAAAACTGACTTTTATATTACAGTTTCTAAACACTGAATGTATATCTACTAGGGGTTTGTATCTCATCATAGTAGTTAATACGATAAGCATCTAGACATTGATGCCGCAATACAATCTATATATATAGATACAGAAGTTTTACCAATGGTTTGTTACAAAGTTTGACAGTCTTGTCTGTAATTTATTACCTATATGACTAACATTGTCTTATTTAAGTACTTAACACTTTACAGTGCTTTCCGAATTCTCAAGTTTGATCAACTAAATGGCAGCTGACAAGAGAAGTAAAATAAAAAAAAGTTAATATCTGTATATATTTTGTTCTTGTTAATTTGTTATGTCACTTTGCATGTAACGTTTTTGATAAAAGAGAAGTAATATAAAACAAAGTTAATATCTGTTTATCTATTTTGTTATTGTTAATTTGTTATGTTACTTTGCATGTAATGTTTTTGATAAAAGAGAAGTAATATAAAACAAAGTTAATATCTGTCTATCTATTTTGTTATTGTTAATTTGTTATGTTACTTTGCATGTAATGTTTTGGATAAAAGAGAAGTAATATAAAACAAAGTTAATATCTGTCTATCTATTTTGTTATTGTTA